CTTTGACGGTTTTGTGTATTTTGATTGTACACGTCGTACAGTCACACCATAAACTGAAATCGATCAACCAAGGAAACTTAATCATGCAGCAACAAACTCAACAGGATAAATGATCGCTTTCTTTTGGAAAAATTCGCATTTTTTTCACCTCGTTTTGTGGGCGCAGCAGAATTCATGGCCTATCCTATGTTGCATTCCGGCACTTTCATTTCATTGAAAAGTAAATAAAAACTATGTTCAAAATCAATTTTGTCTAATCAGAAGAAAAAAAAAATCGTTTCAAATTTTATTTTCGGATAGATTATTTTGGTTGGTGCTTGTGAGTGTGGTTTTTTGTGTGACGATTCTATTACAGTCGTTGAATAAATACAAGACGATGAATACCGTTATTTCTATCGATAAAGATTACTACTTCTGGAACATTACGGTACCTAGTATGACCATTTGCCCAGCCGCTAATCGAATTGATCGAAGTCTTTCTGATGCATATTGCGAACAAAGAGGCATCAAGGGACAGGACAAAGTGGAGTTTTATAAATTCATTGAGTCGATGGCAAATGCAACGTATGACACTTTCCGCCAAATTAAGGACTACAGCAGCATCAAAGTAGAGTGGTCATTGGATACAAAACTTCTTCATTTTTATTCAGAATGGAGTGTTTCTTTTTTCATTCTTAGAAATTAAACATAAAACCAGGGGAATACATGATGCTCATTTTCAACTTAACATTGGACCATTTACTTTTATTTTATTCTATTTTTTATTGAGTAAAGGTGTAAATAACAGGAAAAATCCCCTTTACAATTTATCACCTATAGTTTGTTTTTACAGTTTTGATAGTTACTTTGATCAAAGCATTTAAACATTTCAGTTGGAATAAAAGAAAAATTATTGAATTCTCGATAATGATTGAAAAGAAAAAAAATAAAGAATAAATTATAGTTTCTGAGAAAAAAAGGAAAATAATCGAAATCAAATCCTATTTTTAATTGCACTCTTGAATTGCACTTTGCTTAGGTTCAAGTTTGCAAATGTCAATGTCGGTGAATTTTCTATTATAGAGTAGTTGTGTTCGCATTGTTGGATTGCGATGCAGACCGTAGTCCGTTCTAGATGTATGAGGATTGAAAATTTGATGATTTCTCCTAGATTGGCGGTTCACTCTAATGATTGGCCTGTTGTCACGGACTAAATTTGCATCACAAACAATGTTGTGTAGGAGGCAGGCATCAAAGTATTCACGTCTTCCCTCTAATTTGCTTATGTTTAATATTTCAAGTCTTTGTGAGTACGGTAATAATTCATATTGTAGCTTACAAACGAGCTGACGTGTGTACTTCCTCTGTACCTTTTCAAGTTTACGTATAAATCCAAAAGAAAATGTTGATGTCATTGAACAATTCATTCGAAGTGAACAATTCATTCGAAGGAACGGGGCATGTGCTATGTAGCAAATAGCTCGTTGGCTTCAAACTTATCAGCCAAGTAGATTGCGAATAATTTCGATTGTTCAATAGATGAGCAAATTGGAGCTTTAAAATATTTCCCATAGATTCTTACTCACTGGAACAAATGAGCCTCTGCAATCGTTTGACTTTTATCAAGGATCTCGGCTTCATGATATTTTGACATCGAACTTTTTCAATGGCGAGCAGAGTTACAGACTTTTCGGTTTTTCAGGTTACATAACGGTAAATGAAAATTCATTGTCGACATTGAAAGTCAATGTGATCGATTATATTCTGAACTATTTTCTACAGACTTGTATTCACAGTCCATTTGAAGTAATGGACGTGGCTAGGCCTAAATTTAATACCGATAAAATGAAGAAGCGCGCGTGCAGGGGTGAGAGCGGGACCCACGCAATCGCATTTTTACAATCGGCGGCTCCAAATAAAGGGTGTCCCAAAAGTACCTGACCGATTTTTGTCTTATTTGACAGGTGACGTCTCAAAACTATAGGATTTAGTTCTGATAGGGCTTCTGACCCAATACATGACAGACAAACTAGTAATCGAACCCTAAGTTTCACACTACAAAAACAGTCCTCCATTAATATTACAAGGTATAAGTACCGAAGGACTTTTCGGTATCATGCACCGTCTTTTTGGATATGGTTTGTTCAAAGAACTTTTTTCTTCCATCTTATACTTTATTTTCACCGAAGAAACTGATTGGAAATTTTGAATAGTTTACGAGATATCGTTATTGAGCCAATTTCGGCTCGTTTTGGCCGTTTTGGCCAAATTGGCCACGACCGGGATAAGAAAAATTTAAAATTTTAACTCAAATTGACGGTCTAGGACTTGACGAACATATCACATTAGAATTTTTTTCCAGTAGCCTTATTTAAAGTGATTTAGAGCAGTTCGTCAACACCTTTGTTGAAAAAACAACATTTTTTGACGAATTTTCCCTAATTTTTGACCGAAATTGATAAATTTTCCCAACAAAACCAATTTAATTCGTACAAAATATTTTTGAAAAATGTTGTATCGAAAGTCCACCACATTTTGGAGTCATTTGAACACGATATTCAATCGATCCATGTCGGAAAAATCAAAATTTTCCCGAACTTTAGGGCAGTAGTATAAAAAAGGGCATTCGAAAACGCGAAAAAACGCGAAAACGCTAATTACCTCGCGTTTTTCGCGTTTTATTATTCCAACAATAGTAACAGCATGCACGCAGCATGCATGCTGTGTAATAAAAGAAGACGAAGACAAAAGGGAAGGTCAAGCAAAGAGGAAAAAGAAAGAGACCTGAAAATAAGAAACAAAGAAGAAAGCGAAGAAGATAAAGAGAACCTAAAAACAAAAAGAGACCTGAAAATAAGAAATTTGAAATGAAAGACGTTTTTTTTATTTTATTGTTTTCTGTTTTTATTTATTTGAATGAATTGAATTAAAGACATGAATCGTTCAGTTGTTTTTACATAATTCAGTTAAACTTAATTCTTAATTTGTTCAAATTCTATGAAATAATAATTGCAAGCGTTGTTTTGAATCTGCGACGGCATGTTGGACAGGCTTTTTTGCCTCTTTTCTCTTTTTCGAAGTCGATTCATTTATGCGTCTAGTTCATGGTGAAATACGCGAAAAACGCGAAAAACGCGAAAAACGTGAAAAACGCGAAAAACGCGAATAACGCGAGAAACGCAACGCGAAAACGCGAGAAACGTGGAAAACGCGAAAAATAGCTCGAATTGTTTTCGTGTTTTTCAATGCTCTCAATGTTAGGTATATGCAAAGACGCGCAGCATGAGTGCTGTAAACAAAAAAAGAAAGAGAACACAAAGAAGATGAAAACAAAGAAGACAAAAGAATCCTGAAAATAAGAATTTTTAAATAAAAGACCCTTTTTTTTCATTTCATTGCTTTTTTTGTTTTTATTCATGCTTAAACGGTGAAGCTTGACTGCTTTGTTGATGTGTATAACAATACGGGTAAAGCACCGGTGCTCCGAGGTTTTCATACAAACTTCCCATGTAGAATATCGGAAACAGGCAAAAATCGAAAAAAAAAGTTAAATTTTTTTTTTCGATTCTCATACAGTATTTCATGTGCCCAATCCAATGGTGTTATCGGCACATCGAAATTCGCGCTCCTTATCACTTAATTTTCACTCCGAAGCCAAATCACAACCAAAACAAACATTAAAATGAATCATCATTCCAATGGACTTGAAAGTGTATCGAAAATTTTTGCTTCAATTAAAGTGAAACACGATTTCTATAGTCCACAGATATTTTACGATTCACTTACAGCCGAACAGAATTTATGTTGCACTTTTAAAAATCAAGAATATTGTGTTACGGTTATCCATAAGTGGTTCAACTTTAGTCATTTTTATTCCCGACCACTAATATCTACAAATTATAAAATAATATTGTACAAAATCAAATTTAGCCAGTGATTGGCCAGTGTTAAATAAAATAAAATGAAAAAACTTCATGACCAAGTATGGACATGGTTTTAAATTTATCCCTAGGATAGCAAAATGTTGAACATTTTTGTGAAAAAATTGATTCGAAATATCCGTATTATTAAAATTTGTGATGAAAAACCAGGGAATATTGGCTTGAACTTCAATTTTGACTGTGTTTTGAGCAAAAATTGACAATTTATTTCTTGTTTCCTCTCCGGTATTCATCCTTGGTATAAAAAAATTTCAAATATTTTAATATGACTGGAAATTTTTCATATTTATGGCACCAATAAGAACAGAAATAAAGTTTAACATCAATTTAAATTGAGTAAGAATTTTGCTAGAAATTTTGGTATTTTGACCAAAAAATTTATCCCTAGGATAAATTTATCACGAGGAACATAAATTGGGCAGTTTGGAGCGAAAATTTTAAACAGAAAAGTTGCGCGGAAAATTTTCAAATGAAAAGAGATAGCTATATAGTTCACTATAGTTCACTATATAGCTATCCCTTTTCCGTTCATTCATCATCGACATTTTTCCACGCAACTTTTCTGTATTACATTTTCGCTCCAAACTGCTCAATTGACTGTTCATGAAATGCAATGAAAATCTGCAGAACGATTTCGTGCGTTTATTTCACGAAATTTTTGCAAAATTTATCTCCTCCTAATGCGTCATACAATCTAAAGAACCTTCAATAAAGAATACATAAAAATAAGACTCAACATATAGATATCCGAATGATTCTAAAAGAAGTCTGTTGCTATTTTGGAGATACAGACGGCTTCAAAATTAAAACCACGCGTAGAACTTCAAACAGACATAAATAATATGAATTTTTCTAAACATTTCATGGCTGTTTTATTTGTATCGTTATTTAAAAATCAACAATACGATTTTATACATAGTAGTTATCTAATGAATATCTTAACTACAGGGGGGTTACAGATTGACAGTTGAGCTGCATGATATATACTGAATGAATAGTTCTGCAGCTTGCCGTATATGATATTGTAGGGCAAACTGCGGCGCTAGTGTGCTTGTGTTTCAATCTACAAACCCCCTGCTTAACTATGCGTATTTTAAGAATATGTGAACCTGAAGCAAAGAGAGTATTTATTACAATTAAATTTCTAAAGGAATAGAATAAATATTTGCGAACAGATTTAATTGAATGTTAGGAGGCAAAATGATATCAGAACATCGAAACATCGAAACAATATACTCCGATGCCATACCACAAGAAAATTATTCTTCCAAAAGTTCCAAGAATGCTTTTGGTACTAAGCCATTTATCTAAAAAATAAAGATTGAAATAAAAATCACGTAATTCAAATTTTATTTTTTTTTTTTCCATTTTCACTTACCAGGCCTTGTTTTCCATACATATAATCAGAATTGAGGGGATTTAATTCCGTCACAAATATGATCTGTTGTTAAAGATGTTTATGTCAGTTTAAAAAAAGAAAGTCTGATTTGAAACCATCTCACCTCATTAGCGCTGAGATTAAGCTCAGTACTGTCCGTTGCGTCATATGAGCAAAGTACCCGAGCTCTTTGTTTCCAATCGTTTTGTAAACCACAAATATTCTGACTGTTACATGAGTTTCCTGGTGCATTAGCGCTGTTCAGGTTCTTTGGTTTGTCGTTATGTAATACAACTGGAACGTATGGCTGGTGTCCTCCCAGACTATTCAAATACGAAGAAGAAGAAAAAGAAAAAATTGAAAATTTCCAAAATATTGCAAAAATATAAACGAATCTTAATTTATATTTTATATGCTGCCAATTAATTGAGCTCGCAAAAATTGACTTTAGTTTCCTGCGTGTCCACATCGGACCACCCGTTTGGCCGCCAGCCCGGAACAGACGGACAAAACTCCTACAATAATCGCTCATCTTTAATTGCTTTCATATATTTCTTTCTTTCATTATTGTTCACATATTGCAATTGATTTCACATACTGATTTTTCAAGTATTTGTTCGTGTATGTTGGTAGTTCTAATAATTCCTTGTTGCGTGTGGGTCTATTGTTATTCTACACTAGTTTCGATTTAAAAAAAAAGATTCTAAATTATTATCACCACCTAATAAATCATATATTTTTTTTTTTTATTTTATTGTGTGCAACAATTTTAAAAAAGTTTTAGACAATACAGGAGTGACGAAGACTCCCATTATTTTCGAGAAAAAATAACTTTCCTCCAAGACACTTACCATTAAAAGTGTATATTTGGGGATTTTTCGAAGAAAAGTCGATTTTTTGAGAGTTGAAGTCGAACCAGTCGATTATAAGGCTAGAAATATGTGAAAACATCACTCGACTTGGTCATGTCGGTAATCAAAATGTTCATGGGGGATCATACTAGAAGTCCAAAGGTGTCAAAGGTAGAAATTGTTGGTCCTATAGTGTGATTTAGCCATGGAACCGAAGCTCATAAGCGTCTTTCGCTCATTTGTTTTGAAACAATCGTATATTTCGAAACTAAAACCATAAGAAATGTATAAAATGATACTAGAAATCAATTCTACGTCAAAAATTAGGTGGATATAGTCCCGTAGTAGGTCACTGTACGATGGTTTTCTATGCCATAGATGTGATTTTTTGTCAATCTTTCAACCGATCGATAGTTTTATGAAGAAATGTCGATTTTAAAGCAAATTTGTAGGAAAACCGGTATTAAAGTGTTCCGAGACCCATATTTTTTAGACGAAAAAATGGCAGTTGTCGAAGACAAAAACATCGTAAGTGGCCATTTTCGACCATTTTTCTAACATCAGTGATAAAAAATTTGAAAAACATTTTTTTTCCACTGAATCCACCAACTTATCAAAACGAAATATGAGGTTTATCTGGGCTCGCAAGCAACTAAAATCTGACTTTCATGTGTTGAACCGTACATTTCAAAAGTGTAAAATGTTACTACAGTGTAATGTGTCTCGATGATGTATGCCCGCATAATACATTATGTACCATTGTGATTTGAGCTTTCTTTCTTCGTTCCGCAAGCGTAATCATGTGCAATTCCAGCAATCGACATTCGTATGGTGGCAACTTAAATCCATGCGATCATTTCATTTTACGCAGTGCAAACAGTTTTGGACGGATTCAACTCGAGCAATCTTTTCAGCGGTGTATGGGCTCCAAATCTGTGAGCCATATTCGATTATCGGTAATACAAATGTGAAAAATAATTTCTTAATTGTCCACGGGTCCTCGAACTCTCTCCCAAAATGTTTGATCCATGCTAATCTTGACTTTGCTTTGGCGGTAATGAATTCAATGTGTGCGTTGAAATTCATGTTTACATCCAAAATGACTCCCAGATCCTTCATCACTTCGACATGGTCAATTTTTTCATTGTTACATATTTAGATTGATAAACAATTAGTAGTGATAATTTTCGATAACTTTCAGTTCTCGCCTCGTTAAAAACCTGGCTCTTTTCGTACATCATGCGCTATTCACAATAGTAGGAACATGAAAACTAAAACAGTCATACAACCAAGATGGAAATGCTTGATATTAGTCTATGGCAAACGGTCCAGGATAACCTTTGGTAAACGTTTCCAAAGGGACAAAGGCTATGTGAGGCGTTTAAATACACGTTTAATTTGAGACCCTGGGACAGCAAAAGTCGTCGCTCAATTTATACCGGTTGATAAATTGACGAGAAGTTTTACGTCTGTAAAGGCAGATCCATGTTGATTGCAGAGTGAATTGAGTTTACATGGACTATGATTTGAAACGTTACTAGAGATCAAAAATCAAATTATCTGCATAAAAATGATTTTTTTTCTCAAATATTAAAAAAAAAACATCACACATAACCTCAGATTATCTGTACTGATGTTCAAGTTATTTATGAAAGATATGTTTCAATGTATTTGAGAGAATAATTTGATTTTTGATCCGATTTTGGTGGGTTGTAGTGACCTTTGGGTCAAATTATGTTATGACAGATGATCTATTTCAGTTTTAACGGTATGATATTTTAAAGTTGATGTTCGTAGCTGAAAAATAAGGCCAATGGAACCTGCCTAAGACGTTTGGTAGGGCACTTATGACCGCTAAAGTGATAATTAGCATCAACATGTTGCAAAAAATGAACATGTCATCACTTGAGGAGCCATAACTTTCCGATTGGACATCGTAGGTAGATTATATTGGCCTTATTTTGTAGCTATGAACATCAGCTTTAATGTGACATACATAAGAAACTGAAATTTGGCTGTTGTCATGTCTTCATTTTACCAAATGTCCACCAAACGCTCAAAAATAGGTGAAAAACTTGAAATTTCCCTGTAAATGAATGATTTTTTTTACTAAACTAGCTTAAAAATAAGTTCACGTTATCTGCAGACACACTTTCTCGAAGATTCAAGTGAAAAATAATGGAAATATATACAGTCATTTCCATGTAATAGGCCAAAATTCTCAACAAATTGACCATTTTTTGGTACTTAAGAGTGATTTTGAGCCCTACCCAAAAGGTAGACAGAACATGATTTTTTCTGGATTGGCGTGTTGAGCAAAGTGGTTTCTCTTTACGTTGGCCATGAAATCGTCAAAGATGGTGGCCAGAAAAATGAATACGTTGCGAGTTTTAGTCGAAAAACTGGAAAAATCGACCATTTTTTCGACATTTTGCCCCAAACAACCTACAAAATCTGACTTTTTGGGCATAGTTTGTTGTAAAATGTATTTATTGGACTTTTAGCAACAACTTTGCTCAAGATAATAATACGCTATCGCCAATTACTGAATGATTTATGGACCAAAAATTTAAGATGTCAACTTTGCCAAAAATCCATTATAGGAAAAAAACATATAAGTCGATAAAACGAAAACGCCAACAGAACTTGCAAAACTCAGTTTGGGTTATTCTTGTCTCAGGTAGTACTAACGCCCTAGTATAGTCACTCCTGTATTGTCTAAAACTTTTTTAAAATTGTTGCACACAATAAAATAAAAATAAAAAATATATGATTTATTAGGTGATGATAATAATTTAGAATCTTTTTTTTTTTAAATCGAAACTAGTGTAGAATAACAATAGACCCACACGCAACAAGGAATTATTAGAACTACCAACATACACGAACAAATACTTGAAAAATCAGTATGTGAAATCAATTGCAATATGTGAACAATAATGAAAGAAAGAAATATATGAAAGCAATTAAAGATGAGCGATTATTGTAGGAGTTTTGTCCGTCTGTTCCGGGCTGGCGGCCAAACGGGTGGTCCGATGTGGACACGCAGGAAACTAAAGTCAATTTTTGCGAGCTCAATTAATTGGCAGCATATAAAATATAAATTAAGATTCGTTTATATTTTTGCAATATTTTGGAAATTTTCAATTTTTTCTTTTTCTTCTTCTTCGTATTTGAATAGTCTGGGAGGACACCAGCCATACGTTCCAGTTGTATTACATAACGACAAACCAAAGAACCTGAACAGCGCTAATGCACCAGGAAACTCATGTAACAGTCAGAATATTTGTGGCTTACAAAACGATTGGAAACAAAGAGCTCGGGTACTTTGCTCATATGACGCAACGGACAGTACTGAGCTTAATCTCAGCGCTAATGAGGTGAGATGGTTTCAAATCAGACTTTCTTTTTTTAAACTGACATAAACATCTTTAACAACAGATCATATTTGTGACGGAATTAAATCCCCTCAATTCTGATTATATGTATGGAAAACAAGGCCTGGTAAGTGAAAATGGAAAAAAAAAAAATAAAATTTGAATTACGTGATTTTTATTTCAATCTTTATTTTTTAGATAAATGGCTTAGTACCAAAAGCATTCTTGGAACTTTTGGAAGAATAATTTTCTTGTGGTATGGCATCGGAGTATATTGTTTCGATGTTTCGATGTTCTGATATCATTTTGCCTCCTAACATTCAATTAAATCTGTTCGCAAATATTTATTCTATTCCTTTAGAAATTTAATTGTAATAAATACTCTCTTTGCTTCAGGTTCACATATTCTTAAAATACGCATAGTTAAGCAGGGGGTTTGTAGATTGAAACACAAGCACACTAGCGCCGCAGTTTGCCCTACAATATCATATACGGCAAGCTGCAGAACTATTCATTCAGTATATATCATGCAGCTCAACTGTCAATCTGTAACCCCCCTGTAGTTAAGATATTCATTAGATAACTACTATGTATAAAATCGTATTGTTGATTTTTAAATAACGATACAAATAAAACAGCCATGAAATGTTTAGAAAAATTCATATTATTTATGTCTGTTTGAAGTTCTACGCGTGGTTTTAATTTTGAAGCCGTCTGTATCTCCAAAATAGCAACAGACTTCTTTTAGAATCATTCGGATATCTATATGTTGAGTCTTATTTTTATGTATTCTTTATTGAAGGTTCTTTAGATTGTATGACGCATTAGGAGGAGATAAATTTTGCAAAAATTTCGTGAAATAAACGCACGAAATCGTTCTGCAGATTTTCATTGCATTTCATGACCAGTCAATTGAGCAGTTTGGAGCGAAAATGTAATACAGAAAAGTTGCGTGGAAAAATGTCGATGATGAATGAACGGAAAAGGGATAGCTATATAGT